GTTGGGTTGGTCGGCAGATGGCTGGTAGTTAAAAACAACAGCGAAACCTTTTTAGCTACATGTATACATACTAAAGGACATATTGCGCCGACCCCGAGTAATTAAGATAAGGACAGAAAGTTGATGATGAATTGGTGTGATTAAAGAAAATCTACATACACATGGACAATATTTTCACTGTTGTTTTTTTGTGTTGCGTGTTTCATTCGATATACAGGTTTTGATAGCAATTTTAATTTACACGCTTTTTATCATCATGACTTCTAACTAGTACTAGTAACTAACTAACTAGTAAATAGTACTATGCTAATCTAGGAAGTCAGTTTCCACATCTAATTACTAAGATTAATTTCATAATTAATTCTTAAGTGTGATTATCATATCGAAATAAAACTTAATATGTATACAATATTTATAATAAAAAATTGATATATATAATTTGGCATCTTAAAGCTGGATCTTGGCTGATGGATAGTGGAACTATGTGGTGGATACTAGTAACGCTCATGAGTTTACCATGTGTGATACTACGATCACTCCGGGATCGGCATCAGGCATCAGGCATTAGGCATGGGGTACGGCAGGGAGGACTCCAGGAGCCGCCGATTCGTTCCTGGAGCTTCTCCAGACTGCCGAGGTAGGCCACCAGAGGGTTTAGAGGTTAGACCGGTTCTCCAGGAATCCCATACACGCCTTCCGTTTTCTCAACGTAGGGCGTGTATGGGAATGCGTAAAAGCAAAAGTATGGTGCGAAAAGCATTCCCCGCGCAAAAAAAAGTTCAAACAAAAAGTCAAGAGGTGTACAGTTGATTTGTTTATCATTTAGTGTAATTTTTATTTTTAACTCTAATGCGTTGCCCCTCTTCGAGTCCAACTTAGAATCACTTGATTTGGTGAAAAGCTACAAAACAATTGTTTAACACCTTTTTTTCGTAATGCCGTGGTGTGACTCCGTAAGGCCGTGGTGTCACTCCGTGAGGCCATTTGTGCCGAAGCTGGCTCCTCACACGACCATTTACTTTTTGATTATATTATTATATGTAATAAAGCTAAATATATATTAAATAAAAAGCGCTTCCTGCTCGAATGTACTGCAGACTTTTATTGAATAACATTTCCATAAAGGTAACGACGTTGTATAATCATAAAGTGTCTCGGCTAATGGCGCGATATATCAGGACAATGCCGGCGTGTACCAAATTATCTCATTTTTTACTACAAATAGACAGAAACGACGTTTATCGTCCACTTTTGAGGATAAATCGTTTTATTTGTTTTCAGTAAAATGGATATAATTTAGAGTACAGTGGATCATTGGGAGGGTTTCTATCGTATGTGTATATAAACGTGCTATATACCGAATCTGTAACGTATACTATACTGATATGTTATCCTCTGAAGATGACAAACGAAAAACTTACCCCTTGTTCAGTAAAAAGATAGAAGATAACACACTGCTAGACGTGCTGGAAGTTCAGCTTTGTCATGTTATCAGGAGGCAAACGAGCAGACATATTATCTGATAGTAAGTGACTACCGCTGCCCATGAAAATGATGAATGCAACTCAATAGACACAAGTGCGTTACACTTATGTGCTCCTCCCCCAAAATGAAAGAGAGAGAGAGGAGTTTGGGGTTCCGTTAACCTCACTCACTCGGTCAAAAGTTTTTTTTACGTGCTCCTCCCCCAAAATGAAAGAGAGAGAGAGGAGTTTGGGGTTCCGTTAACCTCACTCACTCGGTCAAAAGTTTTTTTTTCAACGAAGTTTATCAACCAGTAAATGTTGTGTACAGCTGTATTGGACTCTAGTTCTACAAATTGTGTAAGGTTATATTTAGTTTAAGTAGTCATTAATTTGTTGACTCGATCTATCTTACAAATAAAGTTAATAAATGATTATATGATGTAACGGGTAGTATAAGCAATACCTTGACCAGTTCAGAATCACGTATTTGTATCTCACAGTTTAACCAGTTGCCGGGAAGTTCGACCCATCTAATATAGGACATAGTCTTTGGGAATACACGTATCCCACATTATTTTATAACTTGGAGCTTTGCAAATGAACTATTTAAACTGATACTGCAACGATTTGTCTCTGTAATTGAGACTGTATGTGCGTTGGATGCACACGGGATAATTTGATCAAGTCGGACATTATTATAAAATTTCGTTAAAACACACTAACTAAGCGGAAATTATATATATGGTCTTACTTAGGTAAGGTATCTGTGGTGACTATAAAATAAAAATCTATTGAAAACCTCCCGTTTTTTGAACTCGGTTAAAACAACAAAAGGACTCCCGAGTTTCATCTAACAAACAAACTTTTCGTCTTGTAAGTAGTAACTTTTAATATATGAAAACTGCGATTATAAATAAAATATCGTCTTAAATATTTTCTCTAACTTTCAGCGATAACCAGAACATCTAAACACGCACAAAAGTCCAAAACAAACGCCTCCACCATTAATAATAAAGGATAATACGTAATACCAAAAAACCTTGAGGAACGCCTTTACTCAGGGCTGGCATAGCATACACTCATATAGTATTCATTGGCGCTACGAAGGAACAAAGCAACGGGTTTTCTGCAATTTATAACTGAAACGTTGCAACCCTATCCCTTAAGTGAGTAACAAAAGAAGGATTCATAAGTAATGTTGGGGCGGACCTCAAAAGAATTATAAGTAGTGCTTCCACCGACACATGGCATCCAAAATGTTTTAACTCCAGTAATAATGGTTGAAGGAGACCCAAGCGTCGAAACAAGTGGGAATTAACTGCACGGATGGCGTAGTGGTATATGCAGCTTCCTACTACGCTAAGTGTTGTGGGTTCACTTCCCACTTGTGTGATCCACAAATTGTTGTTCTGAGTCTGAGTGTTCTTTGTGTCCGTGTTATGTATGTTTGTAAAGTCCTGCGACACATGATATATTCTTAATGCGGGAGTTGTCTTTATAAAAGAAAAGATCTTGATTTTACTTCAAGTGTCATTTAATGAGTGATATAAGCATCCATAGGTTATAAAGTTGTGACACTGATTTTGTTAGATAGATACATATAATATATATATATATTTTTGTTTTTTTTTAAGACAACTCCCGCACTAGGAACAGATCCTGTGTCGCGGGGGACTTTACAAACATACATGAAACGGACACAAAGAACACCCAGACTTAGGACAACAATTTGTGGATCACACAAAGTATCGTCCCATGTGGGGATCGGACCCACAACACTCAGCGCAGTAGAAATCGGTTAGGTGACCGCTTAAACCGCTATGCCATCCATGCAGTCATTAATATTTAAAAGAAACACATGTCCTTTATTTTGAATAGCCAAAGATACGTGAATCAAAAATTCTTATTGGGAATTGTTTGTACAGATAGATATTACCAAAATTGATTTTATTTAAATTAGTTGTTGCTCAGTAGTAATCATTTTTGAAAATGAGTTTATACTCAAATCTATCTACGCTAGTAAAAATTCTTGTCTATATTTCAATTGTATAAATTAAAACAAAAAGTTATTACTAGTTTACCCGTATATTTCATTCGCAAGCCGACAGTAGGCGTTCCTTCCAACATTTGTGGATCCCTTTTATCTTCCATTCCCTGACATTATGTCTTAGAGAATTATAAATATATAGAGTTCTTATATGACAGGTCGACACGCACAGTAAGACTAAGAAAATTGTTGTCAAGTGTTCGTGGTCAACGAACTGCACTGCGTCACGACACAAAGTAATAAATAATTTAACAATGGAAGCCAGCCAACACTGGGATCGGGCTAAAATGTATCGAGAAATAGATCTCAGTAATCCAGAAGTTCAAAGACATAAATTATTTTAAGGAATTTATAAATGAGAATTTAAAATATCAAAGGTATGTGTAATGTCTCTTAATTTTTGTATACGGGTAAAATATAGGCAAGTTGATGTTTATGTCTAAAAAAACTAGGGTTAAGTACCTACCTGAGAAGTCATTATCTCAAGTACGTACGGGACCCTGGCTTTCTCAAGCTACTTCAGTTTCAGTTTAGGTACGATAAGTTATTTAATTTACAATTGACAATACTGTCTCATTCGGTTTTCATTTTGATATAACCTATTTTTCGATCAACAATATAGATAAGTATAAGCACTTGAAAGAAATTACACTTTATATTAACAACTTAATATCAAACCTACTGACAAAAAGAAATTTGAAGTGAAGGAAAAATTGTTTTTCCAAAGTATCCAACGTAATTGTGAAAAGCTTTTGCAATACGAATAACTCACCCACAAAGCAACACTTCACCGAAGACCTCTTCTGTCCCCTTCTGAGAGAATTCGATTGTGCATGCAATATTTACTTCAAAAACTTCCCTCCGTTCATATTGGAATTCCAGAGAAGCGTCTAATGTCACAGAAATGAGATAACAATGTGTTTTGTTGGTAATATTGTCTGCCATTTTGGAATTTATAAGTGGCAAATAGAACAAAAAATGTGGACATATTCCACATCTTCTGTTCTATATGTATCAATATACTAAATATAATAAACACCATAAATTATTACGTAAATAATATAATAAACTATAACTTTTTAAAATTTCGCGGAATGAGAAATTAAATTAGGAATACTTAAAGCTTATATTTAGAAAAACTACAGAAAGCTAAAAGTTTTCGATTAAAATGTGTTCTGAATTTTAAAATTCTATTCAACGATTATAAAGTACAGGGTTCAAGTACATGTTATGTACTTTAATTCTATACAATGATAATACAAGTTAAAATGGTTGTCGATATAAAGCAGAACATTGAAATTAATGTCTCATCATCAGTTTGAACAAAAAATTCCAAGGATTACGGTCCTAATTTCACACCAAAGCTCTTATCGGCTTTGATAGATCAAATAAAGAATTACTAAGAGTAAAAGTAAGAAGATAACACGAAAATAATTCGTAAAAAATATTAAAAATGAAATAAATAAAATATTCAGGCAAATACCACATCAGGTTACAGTTGGAGCGAGAGTGATGTTGTCGATTTGTTCTAACCACCGTACATCCCAGTACTGGCGTCGATCATCTGTCATACGTCACGGCAAACATTTGAAGTATCTAGGCAAATATTTGAGAATTTCCTTTCATAACCAATCTGTGATCAAAATCTTATAAAATGTTAATGCTATCATCATCAACATTTTTCTGCCCTTCACCGAATTTTAAATGGATTCATGGAACTTTGAAAAAGGTTTACAGGATTTTCAGACAACAATAAGGAATGAATCTATATTTCTTATTACAACTTAGGTTATACAAAACGCAAAACAGGCAATGGTTTTTCTGTACATACCTCCCCAAGGAGCTTGCAGATTCCTCCTTCATTAGTTAGTTTTATTACAAATATATTTTGTAGTTTTTGGAAGCAAAACGAGTTTATGTCATCACTATTCAGTCATAATATAATGTAGTTATAATTCAAATTTGTTTAGATTTTAAAGGGTTTTGGTGCCTTTAGATAAATTTATTTTAATTTGTTTCATGTAAATTATGATTGTTTTATAGTCGACCAAGAGCGGTTACTAAAATTTTGAAATTTAAAATTTTCCGAAACAATGTGAGATAAACAACATTTTATTTTTTCTGTCATCTCATTAAGTGTGAATGCAAATATGCACCCTCACGTACTAAACTTTAGCTGACACGATAGAGCATAAATGTTTTAAGAGCTAAGTGATTTGATTTTAAACTTGTTGAAGAATTCTGTAGCAAAATTAAAAAAAAATACAATTTCATATCTTTTGCTATGGTGATGCAAGTAAACAAATGTATATATTATTTGAAACCAACACTTCGTGGCACGAGTCATTATCCAAGGACAATTGGACGGCAAGCGGTCACTCGGTCGTTCACATATTCGTAAGACAAGTATATATAATAAAAGCTGACACCCAAACCTCTACAAACCAGTATCCAGAGAACCGCAACAACCAAGGACAGCGCAGAGAAAGAGATGCAGTATCTACACCAGATTATAATTATGAAACTAAGTATGTTAAAATCAAACGACTGAGAAGGAATGATGATCTGGGTTGTTTAAAATACACTTGCCCACATTACAAATAACCTGCTCCAAATTAATCCCAATCATTTTTGTCTTCTATGTAATCCACTAATGCTTTCTGACATAATTTACATTTTATTGCGGATTTAAATTTATTAATACTTAAGTCTTGAATATTATTTGAGATTTTATTATGAAATCGGACACATTGACTTCGAAACGACTTGTTTATCTTTTGAAGCCAGGCAGGCAGGTACTACAAGTTTCTTTCTATTTCTGTTTTTTTTTTATGTTAGTGAGGGCAGACGAGCGGACGGGTCACCTGATAGAAAGTGACCATCGCCGCCCATGAAAGTCTGCAATTCAGGAGTCAGAAACGCGTATCACACAACATTCACTACTTATTTATACGAGTAGAATATAAATTGATTAAATATAACTTAGTTTCATTTGCGTTCTAAATGAAAAAGAAAACATTTCTATAGCACAACATTTAGTCTAATAAAAAGTAGTAAACGACTAACAAAATTTTTAAAATAATAATAATAATAATAATAATAATAATAATAATAATAATAATAATAATATTTATTTGCTGATCAAGGGTAGGTATACAGTGGTGTTAACATTACATTTGAAATCGTTCTCCTTAATCTACCTTAACTGGCATGCAAATTGTTTTTTTTTTTCTTTTTTAATAGGTACATGCATCAACTTAAAATTGGTATACGAGTACATTCATTTCAAAAAATATTTTAGGTCAATTACAATAGATAGTTCCAATGCATTCTAAAAATAAAAAAGTAACAGTACAATTTGATAGCAAAGAAACAATCAGAAAATCAAGTATTTCAGGATAATATATAAGTAAAATAATTAAATTCATTATATCAGGGCATGTCAATACAGGAATAAAATGTCAATATGTCAATCATGTCTAAAAATTGATAATAATAAATAATAAAATTATAATCATGTACAAACTAATAACAAAAAAAATATTAATCAAATATAAAATAATAATAAAATGTCAACAATATGTATGTCCAGAAGATAAATTTGATTGTCTAGCTATATTATTTACCTTCGAGAAAATCACTAATTTTGTAATAGGTTTTACTAACTAGAAAGTCATGTAAACGTTTTTTGAAAAGATAACTATTCAAGATCTTTAGTTCATCGGGCAACTTATTATAAATTTTTGGTGCCATGCAGTAAATACTCTTATGTAGTAGTGCTGTATTTGCTTTATGCAATCGTAATCTATTTTGGGTGTTTTTTCTCCTGTTACGAGTTACCGCATCCGCAAGGGTCTCAAAAAGTTCTGGATTTGATTTTGTAAAAGTCGCGGCTTCAAAAATGTACAGACAAGGTAACGTCAGGATTTTATATTGTCTAAAATAAGGCTCACAGCTATCTTGAATTTTAAGATTAAACATCGCTCGTATACACCTTTTTTGGGCTCTGAATACTAATTCTTTATTTGTAGAATTGCCCCAAAATATTATACCATATCTGAGATACGAAGCAGTAGCTCCATGATATGCTGTGAGTAAGGCATCAATATTAAGCACAGGTGCAAGTTTGAATAGCGCAAACGCTGTACTGCAGATTTTTTTACATAGTTCTTCTGTATGTGCTTTCCAATTTAGATTGTGGTCAATGGTTAGTCCCAAAAATTTGGTCGTCGTAACCTGGCCAATTTCAATATTATTATAGTTAATTTCCAAATCTTTAAATGTTGGTATTCTTTGAGTAAATTGTATTAGTTTAGTTTTATTTATATTTATCTTTAAATTATTATTATCTAACCAGTTTATAATATTCAATAATGTGGTATTTATGTCAGCTTTGTATTCGTTTTCATTTTTGCATTCAATGGCAACTGTACTATCATCCGCAAATAATGTAACAGGATGAGTGGTTACTTTAGGCAAATCATTAATATATAGGATAAATAACAGGGGGCCCAGGACACTACCTTGTCCCACACCATACTTTACTGTTCGCATGTGAGAAACGTATGTTTCTTCTATTTTATTAGCTTCATTTATGTGTTTTATCTCTACGAATTGTTTGCGATCTGTCAGATACGATCCTATAAGACTCAAAACATTTCCCCGTATACCAATGTGATCAAGTTTAGCAAGTAAGATTTTGTGATCTACGTAGTCGAATGCCTGAGTCATATCACAAAAGATACCGCAGATTGGTGCCTTAATATCCAACTTTGTGATTATAACATACAAAAAATCGTAAATAGCTCTATTTATGCCCTTCTTCTGCCTAAACCCTTTTTGCTCATTGGTTAGAATATTATGCTTCTCTAAGTAGCTGTAAACTTGTTTATGGATGAATTTTTCGAAAATTTTTGAAACTACTGGTATAAGTGTGATGGGCCTGTAAGACTCCATAAGTTCTTTATTTCCTTTTTTGAAGAGCGGTTTTACCACAGATGTTTTAAGTCTATCAGGATATATACCTGTGGATATACTCAAATTCAAGATATGACTTATATGTGCTGATATATATTGACTTGTGGATTTAATCACCTTGGTTGATATTTCGTCATAACCTACACTGTTAGTGTTTTTTAGTGATGAAATGATCGTTTGAACATCGGAAGGGGTACAGGGTGTAAGAAACATAGAGTCATTTCTTCGATCTATATGTTTAGTAACTTTAGTGCCACGATTTGCAACAGGGTCAATTTTATCAACAAAATAATCACTGAAAGCATTAGCTATCTCTTGTGGACTTGTAACTATTTTGCTGTCACCTATCCTCAGTTTCGAGATTATATTGGGGTAGAAGCTTTGTTTAGACTGATTAATAATTTTCCACGTACTTTTGATCACATTTTTAGAGGTTTTTATGCTATGAATATTTTGAGAGCGTTGTGTCAGTCTAATTATATTTTTATATTTTCGTGCATAACTTTTATAATTGCTTTTGTTTACACTATTTGGTTTTAATCTATATTTCCACAATAGTTTTCTTTTAATCTTACTACATAATTTTACACCTTTCGATATCCATTTAGCTTTATTAGTTGATTTTATTGTGATAATTTTGTATTGAAAACATAAATTGTAGAAGAGTTTAAACGTGTCCATGAATGCATTATATGCTACATTTGGGTCATCAGTTGAAAATACGTCCTGGAATGGTAAACTCTCAATACATGCCTTAAAGTTATTGATGTTTTCTATATTGTAATTTCGTTTTTTTATACGCCACAACTTAATTTCACCTTCTTTTTTAACAAGGCATTCTATTAATTGTGCCGTGTGATCAGACAACGAAAATTCGATAACTTGAGATTTACATTTCTTTTGAAAATTGTGTAAAAAATTATCTATACAGGTTTTACTTTTTATTCTAGTAGGTTTTCTAATTTCTATATCTAAGCCATATTGTGATAGCAAACATTCAAACTCTATAGTGGTCCTACTTTTCTTTGAAATATCAATATTAAAATCACCCGCAATCACTACCTTTTTGTTACGCTTACCACTAACTATCTTCAAAAGTATTTCCATCTTTTCAAAAAAAATATTTATGTTGCTAGGTTTAGGCACTCTGTACAGACAAACAATAATCACTCCATACTTAACCAAGTCCATACCACAACATTCAAATGTACCAGGCAATGACAATCTAGTTATTTCTTGCATTTCTCGCCACTGATGACCTTTCCTTACCAGTATGCATGCACCTCCTCTATTGATCTTACTTCTACTATATATTGTGGCTAGCTGGAAATTTGGTACAAATAGATTTTTCTCTAGCCCTGCCATGATAAAGTGCTCTGTGATACAAACCACATCAACGTTTACATCTTTTTCACTTAGTTCTTCTAGACAGTCTTGCCGTCTGTCTGATGATTTGTTCAGCAAGCCTGCAATGTTCTGATGCAATATTTGCAAGTTTTCATCACAGAAAAAACGCAGTACTATTTATTTCACTACTAGTATTTTGTTCATATGTATTGTCAGACTCAATATCAAGGTACTTTATTGTCAGTAATATGTCGTTGAAAATCGTCTTCATTCCATTGTTGTTTAGCCTTCCATCATATCTAGAGAACATCGTACCGTCTATGGTTAGATTCAAGTTCGAGTCAACTAACGTAGCGTAGTGGTATTCATTTATGTCAAAATAGAGTAGGTTACCAAACATTTCTACGCGCCAGTTGAACACTGTAGCGTGATAGCTACATTTATACGTTGGAAGGCACAATATGATATTCGTATGACGTATCTTCAGTAGGGTATCTCTTAATTCTAATATCAGATTAAAATAATTATTTGTTGTTCTAAAATCCTCTTCTCCTATCAATATTACACAATAATCATTCTCTGTGAAGGAGTACAGTTTTTCATGTAGATTTTTAATCATGTGTAGAATTCCACATTTCGGTGAAAGATAATGACATAGTTTCTTGTCCCCAAATGTCTTCAATGCGATTGATAGAACGCTATTTGTCTTGTTTGAGCTTATTAGGCATATCTTTTTAAGTGGATGATCTGATTGTTTTGTAAATAAAACATTGTTACCTGAAGCCAGTGTAATGTTGTCTGTATGTAGTCGTTCTCGTTCGATTGGTAAAGATTTATTGTTCTTCAGTTCAGATCGTGTCAGGCTTTCTATTTGTTTTGCAAGGGACATATTTTTTTGTTGTATGTCTTCTAATTGTTGTTCTAGGTGTTTAATTTTTTGCCGTTGTGATGACGTTTCTATATCGTTACGGGCTTCAAGATTCGAGGTTGAAGCCAGTGGGGATACAGTAGGAGACATTTTACGCCGTAACAAAGAATTTCTCTTCTTCTTGTCGCTTTTGTATGGACTATTGCCTACTATTGTAGATGAGCTGCACAACGACTTAAGTAGTTTTATTTCTTCGTTTAATATTTGGATCTGTCTGTTAAGATTGTTATTTTCCAGTATAATATTTTCCATCTCACTCTCAGTGCTCTCCAGTTTACTGGTAAGCATAGATATTTGTTCTTTCATTTCAGAAATACACAGTTGGTCGGTTACAGTGCAGTCCATACTTTTAGACATTTTATTGGGTGGATCGTACATCTCATATGAGGTTTCAGAGTCGGTAAATAATTGTGAATCTGTTATAATGGACGTTTCTTCTGTTGCAATTTGAATCGTATTAATACACTGATCTTTATTTATAAGCTGTGTAGTTTCGGGGGTCAAGAGGATAGGTTCTATTATGGTATTATTTTTCTTTCGTTGAGTAATATAAGATAGGTCACCGGTACTGGATTTTTTTCTAATGCTGAGGTTTTTTTCTATACAAGTTTTGCATTTCCAGTTTTTATTTGAGTCTTGGGTAATGAAACGGAAGGTTTGTTCAGGAATGCCATCACAATTCCGTTCAAATCTGTTTTTGCAGATTGAGCACTTTGCAGTACTTTTTATGTCAACTGATTTTCCACACTTAAAACATGATACCAGTGCCGACATCTTGCGGCCATTATTTGAGCTCGTATTGATGTTAGACGCCATCCTTTCCGATATGAACACAAAGTGCTCCCGCGCGGTATGTAAGTGCGTGATTTCGTAATTCGGCCCTAGATGGCACTATTTACGATATAGGTGTAATGTCAGATTTCCGTGAATGACTGTTTAAAATTTCAAATTAACGGAAGCAAAATCACTTGCTGCAATTCGATCACTTGATAATAGTACAATGTTCGTAAAAAATAGGCAGTTGTGTAGCGTCCTGCGAATGTTAGTTAGTATCACTACGAAACATTAGTTGTAGGTGTTAATATCACGTTAATTAGAGTTTGATTAACATTTCACTTTCACTGTCTTCTTTGTCAAAATCCGAGTAGATTTTTGTAGATAACATTATATGTTCATTATTAGGTCTTGTTGCACAGATTTATTATATGCACTGAGTTTATAACACACTATAACTATTTTTTTTCTGTTTATAAATACACGCTCGATGTTTACGTGTCGACACTAGCGACATCGAATGAACAAAGAACAAAGCGTTTACTAACGAATTCAACTTTAAATTGAATTTGTATAAAAAGTAAATTGCACCGTACTAAATGGTTCGGCTTGTAAACTATAGCAACCTTCAAAGGGATGAGATTAATTCGAATTCTTTTTTACTTTAGTCTGTACAATCATTGAGAAAATATTTCTTGTCACGTGAGATGCTTAAAACTTGTCTCAATTAGAAATCCAATATCTGCCAAAGTCTACTTAGAAACGCATTAAGAAATCTAGATTAACGCAATATGATGAATCGTTTCAAGTTCTTTGCAGGGTTATTACTTCAAATTACAATCATGAACAATTCAAATAATCTGGAAAAAAAGTTTTTTAAATTAACTTTAATTCAGCTCTTTTATTAACTTTTTAAACATTTCAAGATTTTCTATTTAATATAAATGTAAAGTAATGTAATTCTGAATTTGATTCGACTGAAGAAATTTAGACACAAATGCCAGGAAACCGATTTACAAGATATATTCCTCCGAGCCTTTTTCAGACTCGATTTTTTACATGGAGTGACTGTCATCAGATCTCCACAACCCAAGTACCTACTAGGGATATCGAAGTTTAGTTCAACGATTGCCACAGATGTTGGTATGGCAACCGGGACCGGCTACTCAACGTTCTCTCCGCTTCACGGAGGGGTCTCAATGTGTTAAGAATAGTCACCCACCCATAGACTGACCTGGCTAGGATTGCTTAACTTTGCAATGTGTTAACCCACTCAGTTACCATTATTCTTTATTATGAGTCTATTATGAGCCATTAGTGACAATTTGGATCAGAAGAAGACTACCCCTTTAAAATATGTACATATATTTGTTACTTATTCCTGCTAAAAAAATAGTCATTCAGAACGAGCCTTAAGACCTTGATACTTGACACTTGGTACTTCAGAAATGGGATAGAAACCGATACGAGTTATGAATGATGGCTGCAATGACCACCTTTTTATTTATATATTATGCTTGTTTAGTCATATTTTGGTGTATTATGTGTGTGTATGTGTGTATTGAGTCTAGGTATAAACTCAATGCATTTTTTTTTAAATATCGTAATAGTATAACGTTAAAAAAGACTCTGTGTCTATCACAGATTACGAAAGCAGTTTTGTCACGCTACAAATTATCTTATTAAGTACACGAGGTAACTATCCCCACGTAAGGGTCACGTCGAAACACGTTTGTGAATATCAGTCACGCTCCACGGACTCTGTGATCGTGAAAACAGCGATATTTCACTAATTAAATTTCACTTTTTAGTCTCGCCCGCGTGACTGATTCACAAATTAAGTGGCGTGGTACTATGTGTTTCTAGGAATTGTACTGTGATGTGATAACATTAATAATTCATGAAATATTTTTGTTAATAGTCAACCTTTGTAATTTATTTTAATTAAAAGGTTAAAAAGGATTTTTCTTTCTTTGTCAAACAGAAGCGGTGGACAGAATATGTTATATATTACAGAAGGTACACTGACAGACTTACAATAGGCATAATGTCAGGCTATTAAATTAGATCTGCGAGTAACTTATGCTCGCGAAGGAGACGGCGGAGCGGGACCGGGAGAGGTTTAGGACTCTCCCGGCCCGCCAGGCCCGGGAACGGGCCCGGTACCGCAGGCTACTCAGGCGCCCGAGGTCGCAGAACGACCTCCGTCCTCCATAAGCGCAGGCCTGGGGGTGACAGGTGAGGCCATGTGTCACCCTAGCAGAAGCAGGCCGGGGTGGGGGCGAGCGCGTTGCGAAGCGCGCTCGCTTCCACGGAGCACAGGGAACATTTGGTTCCCACACGGGGGGGGGGGTTGTCTACTCGTCTGTAGATGACCCGAGGTATGTCGGGGTACCAGGGACTTCCTTTCTAGGGTATACCTGGTTCCACGGCTATTAGTACCCGAGACGGCGTGCGGTTTTAGTCGGTTCGAGTTCGACATGCCACCGACAGGTGGTATCCGAGGGGATTACCGCACGGAAAAAAAAAAAAAAAGGCTATTAAATTAGATAAATATCTGAGCTGAGTAGCACTATTACCAGCTTATTAGACCTGCATCAAGCATAAAGTCAGATACTATGTAATTAAGATTACGGAATAGGCGCAAACGTACAGACGGGTTACCTCATCAGGTGCCCCGTTTCCATAGTCGGCGGTAGTATAGGTCTCCCACTATTCCTAATTGTAATTCACTAATTCAATCACTTCTAAAACTGAATTCGTCATAATTAATAATGTACACAAACAGTTAAATGATTACAATATTGAAATAAACCCCCAAGATTAATGTAACACGTGTATAATAAATAATTTGAACAAATTAATGTTGTCGCGACGCCACATCGCCATATATTTACACACACGGAACAAAAATGTTTTGTACCATTATTATTCTACAACCTGGTTATATTATTACTGTTTTACTTATTATATGAGTTATCATGCAGTTATGATTGACCTGGTCTAGTGTCAATTAAGCCAGTGGTCGTGGACTCAATTCTCATCCAGGACAAATAGTTGTGTGATTAATATGATATTTTCATTTAAAAAAATGCATTGAGTTTATACCTAGACTCAATAATATGATCATTTGTTCTCTGTCTGTATTAATCTATAACATGTATGTATTTGGTAACTTTTTAGCAGTGGATTCGAAATATCGATTTTGTCAATCATTTTTTCTTTGATAAAAAGTAGTATATGTGGTTTTCTAGACAATAATTTATTTCTGTTTCAAAGGACTTCCGTGTGGTGAAGGATTAAGAATACGTAATGTCACCACACCTATTCATCCCGTGGGTATTGTAAGAGACGACTAAGGGAGCAAAATACGCAGGACAACAGCACTGCAAAGAGAAGGAAAACTTAAAACAAACCCTATACCAACCCGTCTGGCCAGCGTGGTATACTAACTTTTAAACTTCCCTGAGTCAGCCTGTGACCACGGCCGGTGCAACCTGGTCGAAACGTCAGGCAAACCAGAGGTATGTAATACCCTAAATAAGAGATCGCGTTAATTCCCGTTAAATAATATTAATCAGCGTGGTATAGTAGGCCACAACCTCCTTTCTAAGGAGAGGCCTATGTTCAGCAGTGGACTATTGTAGGCTGTTGATGTGATGATGTGTGATGATTGTTTCAAAGGACAATGCCTATTTGTGTATGGAGATTCGTACCAACGTACAACAAAACGAATTTACTCTCAAGAGTTTAGTTTTTGTTTAACTATTTACTAGCAACAAGATTTTGTCGATGTTTACCCGTATTTTCGTAATATTTGAAAATTATTAACTGTTTAGGCACTATGAACGTCACTATGCGCTACGATCCCAAAGTAACTCTCTCAAAGCTGTCAACAGTTATCATGGGCGTACAGTGAAATTAGTCTCGAGAAATTTTTGCATATGTAGTGGTGTGTATATTACTCAGATCTTAGAGCGCGTTTCCACTATTTTGTTCTGGCCTATACAAAAATGTTTCGATATCCTAACATTACTATTTAATTTTATACTTATCCCTAGCAACACTCTGACTTTTGTTTTCAATAAAAACAAGTTTTTATTTTAAAGAAAAAGGTTTTGACTTTATAAAAAAAAGGTGTGTGTGCGATTCACACACGATAGAAGTGAAACTTCACAGAGGAGAGACCGATATTTAATTTTTTTTTTTCCTTTCATCTAGGTTTTTAAAACTCCGGGGGGTCTACGGGGGGTCAAAATTTTTGTTATTTTTGGCCTAGGATGCACCGTTTCCGAGATATTTCAATCTAAAGCAAAAAATCGTCACTTGATAGTGGAAAGTGGAAATACGCACAAAACCAGAATAAACCAGTTTGACCATACACTACTACAAACGCAAAAATTTCTCCAAGCTAATTTACCTGTAGTACATAAATTATTCAATAAACCTGACAGAACGATTAAAAACGACATCTAAAACATTGATCGATAAAAAGAATACAAAAATCAACAAGACGCCATAAACAGGTAGACAATGACATTGACATTTCATAATTGGATATGAAGAAATGACTAGACTGTAAGCGTTTTGAGTTTCTATAATACTCAATATTTTTATCATAAAACATGAGTGAGACAAAATAAACTAATTTAATAATAGTTATTTTTAGTGTTTAAATTATTTTCCACTACTATATAATCTTGTTTACCCAGACAGCAGCTAAAAATAAATAGGTAAACAAGATTTTTATGCTCATTGTCAGTTTGTGTAAAGAATTGGCAAGTGTAACGGAAAAACAACAGTATCGGAAATTAACTTTTATTTGACGCATCTGCCCCTCCTTTTATTCTCATGATTTCAACCATTTTGGCGTGATTCAGTTTCAAATATCCATATATCTATATCCCCAACTTTCGTGTTTTAATCATCAACAGCCTTTAACAGTCCACTGCTGGACATATGCCTCTCCTTAGAAAAGAGATTTTGGCCTACTATATATGTATAGGGTTTGTTTCATGTTTTCCTTCTCTTTGCAGTGTTGT